GCGGCCGCAGTCGATCGCAGGTCAGTTCACGGCCGCGACTGCCATTTGCGTCTGCATGCAGCGATGGCTCGATCAGCAGCAATTGCACGATTAACGGCCGAACCATGGCAGCTTTTCATCATCAAAGGGATGGCGGAACTATCGCCATGCCCACATGCCCCATCTGGCACTAGCTCGGGGACCGTTGTTGCTGGCTTGGCTCGCTGGGCCAGAGCCTGGCGCGGCTGTGCAGGCGTTGAGTGACCGCGGCCATCGAGCACCCACCAGCGAGAGCCGTTCTCGCAGCACAGCCGAGTTTCCCTGCGTGATGGCTTGCAGATGCGGTCAGTAACTGTCGTCAATCTAATATGCGCCTCGCAGCATCGCGCCGCCTTATAATATGCTCGAGTCGTCCACAAAGAGGCCTCTCGTAGCCAGGCACGATTGACATATTATACCACCAACGACCCATGGTCCTCGAAGCTATCACACGCCCGTCGCAACCAGTCTTAGGCATCCAGAGCACAGCAGAGCATGGTGCAGCACCGAACTACTCTACATTCTCGGCCCTCGACCCGTCAGCGAATATGATGTCCTCGCGCCCTCAGGTCTTTACCACATCCGATTACCTGTCCCCTACCACGACGGCCGACGCAACCCCGTCGTGGCTCTCCATGCCTCCGTTTCCCTACACAAATGGTGCGCAACTTTTTCTAGCCATCTCAAGTATTTCTTTATGAGTCTCTCCAAAGTCCAGTGCGTGTTTCTTACTCCAATCGAGCGGTGCGGAGAGGTGGGGTGACAAACAGCCGCTAACGATCCTTCAGCCTTACGCAAGAACAGTCGCAAATCCCCCGTAGCCAATGACAGCGACACCATGGAGGACGACGGCGGCTTCACGTTTATCACGGCCAACAACCCGGCTGGGTTCAAGAAGAAGAAGATCATGACCACGGTCCGCAAGAAGGCGATGGGAAGCTATCTGCAGAACGAGAAGGAGCGGAAGCCGCGACAGAGCCGCGAGCCTTCTACTGGCTCGCGGAGTAGCATTGGCAGTACCGAGCAAGAGGCTGTAGAGGCTATTATTGCGAACGAAGAGGCGCTCAAAATATTCAGAGGGGAGAGTAGGAGGGCAGGTCGACGGACGTCGTCGCCCACCAAGTCGCCTGCATCCAGCGGAAACGACCGACATTCAGTATCAATACCTTCCCCAGAAAACCAGCTTGTTCGCATGCCACAACCAGTTGATATGGCCATTCTTGAACAAGCACCAATGGTTCGCCCACCCCGCACTGATGTCAAGCTGGTGTACGACGCGACTGCACCACGTCCTTTTCAATCGGTCGGAAAGTCGGTCGATCCATTCAAGACCATGCACCAAGCCAATCATCCCTCAATATCTGTTGAATATCTGAAATTTCATTGTATGTTGAGCTCTTTGCATAATCGGTTCGTATGCTTACATGGTTAGGTTCACGCGCTTTTGGCACGAGAGCAATGGGCCAGCATTGGATTCCAACGCTGGTCAAGTCACCGCATGCATTCCTTAGCACACTTTGCATTGCTTCCGCACATCACGATGCCGTTAGCGATATGCAATTCGAGAGCTTGCATACCACCGCGCTTCGTCAGGAAGTCATACATCTGATCAGCCAAAACCTGGTCAATCCAAGCTCGCGCATCGATGACTACAACATCATTGCCGTAACACAACTCATTGCAAGCGAAATGATTGCAGGAGGCGAGGCAACACTCGACTACCACGAAGCTGGTGTCGCAAAGATGGTGACCCAGCGCGGTGGTCTGAACCAGTTGGGAGTGAAAGGACGATTAGCATCGACACTGTCATGGGTGTCACTCGAGTCCGCCGTCCTCCGCGAAACGAAACCACGATCCATGTATGCCGACTTCTGCACGTCTGCTCAGACGAAGAACTACCCACCCACCGCGACGATCCCGGAATCACCACTTTTCTGCCCACGAAGCGATTTGAACACAGTGAAGAGGTCGTCGAGAAGCTCGAGCTCTCCACGGACATTGGACCTCTTGAAGGATATCCGAATGATGATGGAGTTCTTCCTACACGAAACGAAGCACAGCCGACAGAACTCACAATCCCTCAAGAACCTCTACAAGAAGATTACAACAGAATACCCGTCCGCAGCCGACATGCAGAAAACGACTGTCTTGACAGTCAGCGACTGGACATACGAAGCCGTCCGTATAGCTGCTGTCATCCAGGCCACTGCGATGGTGAGGCGCATCCCGCTCTCAGAAGCGCTCAAGGTCTCAGCGCACACCAACGCCCCAACTTCGCTATATTCCTCCTCCAACGCTTCGAAGTCCTCCGACTCGCTCGTCTCTCCCACTGCGATAAGACACGATTCCCCACTTACTAGCTTTTCGACGAGCCCCTCCTACGTAACATCTGCCGACTCGAATTTCTCCAGCTACTTCCCTCCACAATCAAAATCCACATCGAAATTCTCAATTTCCTCCTCCACAACCGACTTCTCTTCGTTCTTTCCGGCACCGGCAGCTCCAGCACCTACTGGGCCGAGCGCGCTCCTCGCGAACCTCAAGACAGCACTAGACAACTCGGATCTTTCTGACGTTTGGAACGACATGGCAGGTGTGCTGTTCTGGATCAGTCTTGTCGTTGGCGCGGCGAGCAGGAAGAGCGACAAGGTGCTCAAGAAGTGGTTCTCGGCTCTCGCGATCCGATGCTCCATTGTCCTTTGCTTTGAGCACCCTGAAGCGATTCATAGCACACTCCTCCGAATGACCGAATTCGTCGAAGCAGCTGGATATGGAACAAATGACGAAGTTGTAAGACGCACAAGCAGCACTTCCAAGAGGCGAGAGAGCTCGATCGCGGCTGGTAAGAGGAGGCGAGTATAAACTCACAACGAGCGGTTATGATATCTAGTCATCTTGTTGACATTGTACGATGAGTTGAAAGAGGAGGTCAGAACAAACTTCTTACAGTGTGGCATTGCTGAAACCTCGCCACCACGCGTATGTCGATCTGGAGAAGCTGAAAACGGTCCGTATTCGGGAGGGACCGAACGAAGAACGACTTCAGCTTTATGCCTCAGGCTTCGACTTTAAGGGGCCAAACGGTGAATGAGGCTGTGCAGCACTTACTCAAAAAGGGTGGCCTCGCAATTCTTTTTATCTTGATTTACTTCTACACATGTGTTGTTAGATCGGTTGTATGGCTTGGAGCTTTTATGACGACACGATTTATGGCTTTCGCTTTCTTAGGGATACCTCGGCCTTTTTGGATGGCTTGTTATGATGATCAAGACAGTTCGTATGGCGTTAAGCAAGATCAAAACTTGTAGTAGTAGTTAGTGGTATTGGTTTGAGATATCCAATCAATCTCTTTATTAGTTCAAGCACATGATCGTATGAACAATGATCTTCCCGTGAAATTGAAGCAGCACAGCAGCGGCCAATACACCAACCGTTCGATCATCATACGGCGCTCCGAAGCACTCCTCGTACGTGATGTCAGCTCTGGAGCCGCGACTCGAATGTTGGCACTAACAGAAGCAAGATATTATCACTTTATAATTCATCGTGATCATAATTCTATTACTAGGTCATAGGCCGTGCTTTTGAGGTTCGCCAGCTCAACCTCCTAGGTCCATGCCATGCAGGCTGCATCAAGCCCACAGTATCCTAACCGCAGACGCCTGCCCTAATGTACTCGTCATGAAGTATCCCTAGTCCCTCTATCCATACCGCACATTCTTAACCGTGCCCTCCTCATCGACATGAATATTCAGCCTCTCGGGTTTATGATCCATCGTGCTCATGCTATCCGGCTTCAGCACGCGGTGCTCTTTCGGCAAGTCGGTTTTCGCAAACGTCTTTGCAGCGTACCACCGTTAGCAATCTTTCCTGATACTAGGATGGTTGGAGACGTACTACTTCGTTGTGCTCTTCGCCGAGCTTCTTGCCCATGAGCTTGTTGCTCCAGTCTTCCTTTCCGGAGCCGTCTTTCGACTGCAGGCCGGGGATTACGAGCGGCATTTTGAGGACGGGGGTGGTGGAGTGGTAGGCGCGGGTGAATTTGGAGGTGTACGTTTTGCTTGCTTGTCTGGAGAGGGACGTTGTTGCTGCGTTATTCAGGTGGTTTATTAGGGAGTAGAAGAGGAATGAAGTGGTCTGATGTATAAGGTAGAGGGTATGGTATGGGTTTGTAGGGCTTTATCTTGGTTCTAATTACGCGGCTACCGCAGGCAAACGTTGAACGGGAGCTGCGCCTGACACGCTACGTCATGCCCCTCCAGCCCACCTTCCCTTAGGATGTCTTGGCGAGGGTGTTTCTTCGCTGTTCGCTCGTCTATATGTATGCAAATATAAAGATTGCAATACTAAAGCACTCTCGGACCTTAAACATGAATAGAGGGCATCGAATATGATGATGAAGAAGACTGCCAGGTCTCAATATACCGGAAACGGCAAGTTCGTAATAGTTGTCGATTGCGGAGGGCGAGCTCGCCCTGGTAAGGTGACCAGAATGAGGGGTAGCGCTGCGGCTGGGGTCCAGATTTGCGGCCCTTTCAGCTGCATCGTTCCTACATCTACGGCTTGGAAAGTCGAAGGCACGGAATGTTGGATGAAATTTCCTAACAGGGCATCTAGAGACAGTCATGAGAAGAGGATCTTAATGCAAAGTACTGTTGACCTTGGATTCCGAGTCAAGGGTCTGTTATCTACCCGGTCTTCGTGCCCTTTTGCGCAAGCTCTCAATGCTATAGGCAGCCAATGTGAAAGACATAGGATCAGGCGCATTATCCGCAGTAGAAGAGGACCGGTTTTCCTTTATGCTTGGCCGATCAACCGTCCATGACAGACCTGTAAAATTGTTCGACGATGCTATCAAGCTGGTAGTCGCTGCAGCGGGTTGTCCAAAAAAGCATCGGGTTGAGGCTCGACCCCACGATGACTGATACGTAGAAATGATACAAACATGTCTTTTGTAAGGCCAAAAAAAATCATTATGATATTGACAGGAGCGAGGTTCGAACTCGCGCGGGTTTCCCCACTGCAGAATTGCTGAAAACTTAAATGCAGCGCCTTAGACCACTCGGCCATCCTGTCGACGTAAAACAGTAAATTTTGAGGTGTAAAAGTAATATATCTTACAGTTAAAAAGAGTCGATGTCTGGCGAGCAGGTAATCGTGGCCAGAATGCCGCGTTGCTGACTGGTGAAGAAGCTGCGGAGCTGAGCTAACCGAAAGACATCGGTCAACTTTCGTACTACAAGTTAGCGCCTCACATAAACCCAAAGAGCAGACCGAACCTCAGCGAAACCATCACAAGTCTCCAAATTCCCCTTACAAAACCAACAATAAAGTGCCTGCTCGCAATCCGGCTGGAAGTGTGGCTCACTTTTGTCAGATAACATTGTTTACAGCAGGAGCAAAGAGTCTTGTGCGAACATAGGTATAATTACTTACATGCACGGCATGCGCGTTCTAGGATCAAAAAGTATATACAGAAATCCAAGTTCTTTCCAATGCTTCCAAAGCACCATCATTTTCCCCGTTGCGGAATTCACGATTTCCCCATCCACTCAGCTAACGCTTTTCCGCCAAAGTTTCCTCGAACCGCGTCTAGCAAGTCTTGACAGCGCTAGCAGTATACTTGCAAGCGGTAGACGGGCCAGAGCTCTTCTCCTTAGGCTCCTTTCCAGGCGTAGTGCCGGTGTACTCGGTGCAGACCTTCTTGACAGACGAAGCGCAGGTTCCAGAGATGGAAGCGGAGTCGCCAAAGTTGGAGTTGATGCCAGCAAGCAGCTTGCCGTTGTATGCCTTGACGTTCTTGATAACGACATTGCGCTGGACGCTGTTCTTGCAGTTCCCGCACGCGCGGTACAGCTTGCCGAAGTCCATGACTGTGAAGCCATCAATGGTGACGGTGCCTTTGCCGTTGTGCTGGATAACCTTGTCTTCAGCACCTTGGGCGCCACCACCGGAGACAAGGGCGTTTCCATCACCCTTGAGGGAGAGTGCGTCTGGAGAATGTCAGTCACTGCTAAAGATGTGAAGTGGTCGAGTTGGTGGACTTACCCTCGCAGACAGCAACCCACCAGACGTTCTTGATGGTGCAGCTGCCCTTGCAGTGAACACCCTCAATCTGGTCCTTTCCGATGATGGCATTCTGGAGGGTGGCACCGTTCTCGAGGATGAAGACGGCATCAGAGTCATCGCCCTCATCTTGACCAGTGCAAGTGACACCACGGCCATAGGTCTTCATGCCGCCATCGAAAGTACCGGAGATAGTCTTAGCAGACGAATACTTGACGGTGCCCTTGGAGGCCGGAACTGGGAAGGTTGCACGTTTCTGGAAGTGTTCGAAGAAGTTGGCGGGAGAGGTCTCCGAAGGAGCAGCAGCGATTGGGGCCACGAAGGCAAAAGCAGCGGCTGCAAGGGTGAACTTCATCTTGGACAAATAGGATGATCGGAATTGAATAATTGGAAGAGAGCGGTATTCTGGTAGAATGTGTGTCGAAGAATGTACTAAGAATCGAAGACAAAAGAGCGAGAGTGGTGCTTCAAGCAGCAAATGAGAGACAATGAACCAGAAAGAATGATCGTGGTGGTGAGAAGAGGATTGAGTATGGTTCTGTTCTCGTCTTATACTCTCATCAATCTTATCGTGAGATCATTCGCAAGCCATGGAGCACCGGGGCTCTTCAACCCGAGCATCTAGATCATGGTGACCATGAACCCATACCCATCCCATTTGCAGCCCTGCCTACCGATGCTAGTCTTCGGTAAGATGATATGCTTACCGCGTTGAGCGATGAAACAGTGCCAAGTCCACTGCCAAGCGGAGCGGAACTATCCTGTTCAATTTTCCGTGGTGTTTCTGAAGTCGGGAGGCGGTGGAACACCCCTTAATTGATGAATTAATGGTCGGTCAAAGAGTTTTGCATGGTTTGGCCCGATACGCGAAATGGTTGTGACCCGCCTCCTATGTGCCAAGTTCGGTGGCTGTCTTCAGGTCATCACGATAGGGCCGTTTCAAAACCATGGTTTTGAAATTCCTCCAATCGAAGGGCGGCCAGGAACATCTTGGGCGCGAGCTACCAGCGTGGTGGAGATGTCATTGCTCTTTCGGTGATCGCGCTGCATAACGTTGTTTCTAACGGTTGTCCTGACCGCGGCAACTTGCACGCCTTTACAGAGGTAGAAGTTCGGCGAAACAAAGAACAGAGAACCCTTCATCACATAGATGAGCTGGCTAGGCCCTGGAAGTAGTCAAAGCGCCTTTGCTGGTGACTCTGCCGCGAAAAATTCTTCCAACGGAGTCCCAAGATGTGATGTGCCGTGTAGGATAAAAGTGCCGAGGACAAGCTCAATTTCGGGCCTCCTCTCTCTTCGAACAACTAGGAAGACATATCAGCTTACTGTTGATCGTCTGAGAGCCCGCTGGTCTGTACAGAAAACGCACTGGCAACAGGTGGTGTTGTATGCACAAACACGTATCGTTTTCCAACTTGACAAAGTCTTCGAGACACTTTCCGCCTAGCGATGCGATGTTGGTTTAATAGGATATGGGCGAGAATGCGAGGGGCGGAACAATAGTGGGCCTGTTTGACTGCTGGCCTTGGCAGGGGATGCGCTAGAATTATCAAGCTGTCCCAATTCGCCTAGTCCCAGCACAATTCCCCACGATAAGGAATCGTGGCTCGCCGGTAGGGCCGAGATGTCATGGAATGAAGCCAACTTTGATGTGACCCAGCACTTGGTCTCTTCCGACGTCAAGTCTCATTCCGGGCGAGAGATCAGATACTGTCGGGCATACCCGTAGGAAGAATATCACCGCTTGAGTCTCCACTTACGTCCCACCGCGACTGTTGCCAATTCCTCCCGATCAAGTCGCTCTCGAGTGCTCGAACGAATCCAACTGGTTGGAAGCCACCCTCCATCATCATGGGGAAGTCTTGCAAAAACGAGAGATCAGAGAAGTCCTCGAGAGGGAACGGTAACGGCGGAGTTTCGTCAATGGGTACAGTGAGGTTGTTGGGATCCGCGAATGCGTGTTGTTGCTCACTCAACTGAGGCTGTTGCTCGTTCACAAGCGCATTCTGGCCTGGAGATTGACCCGATGGCAAATATGTGGACTGTGTTGGCTGCCTCCGCCGGCTCTCTTGAATGATACGTGAGACCTTGTTAAGTGCAGATACAGTTCGAGAAATAGGCACCCAGTCTGATTGTAACGAGCATACATCAGTCAGAATTCTCCCGATAGCTTCAAGAGAAATGACGTCTTGCTCGCACTCGTCCGGTTCTTTGCATGCTAGTATGTGTTCGTATAGAGAAAAGATTGCACAGAACGGATAGAATGTAATGAAACTATAGGTTGTGTTAGCGTCCATATGCTACGAGTTCATGCCAGGGATGCTTACTGAGAGAAGCAAAAGCTTGTTTCCAGAAGTGTTGTTCCCATGTCCGCAAATCGAAGGATAATGTCCATAACAGTCCTCGCAGATCTTAGTGTTATGGCATCGATAGGTGTGTTGTCCTCCCGCGTGAGTCTTTTGATTCCAATGATGATTGTATATGTGTTCATAATGTGATCTGCATATAGCCAGCGACATGTAGGTGAACAGTTCGCGGCGTCGAGGAGCGACATCTAAGAGCACGTAAGCCTTGACCACGACCGTAAAGCAAAGCGTCAACAAGCGCTATATTCTCTCCAACCTGTGGCGCTTCGATTGGGATGCGGAGTTACAAGCGTACACGGACAAAAGAATTGTGTACTTGCCAGATTCCAGTTGTTAATAATAGTTTCCATTTTAATGCAGAATACGTCGACTGCTTCTGGACCCGCCGTGCCTTCGTCGAGAGCATTAAAGAGCTCCACCGTCAAAATGGTGTAATCCATCCAGACAGCGTAGCATATGACCTGCGATGAATTGGGATGTAAGTTGGAGGCAGAAATCAAAGCGGGAGGCTTGAACCGGTCCACCGACCACTGCCACACGGATGGCTTCCCGTAGAATAGGCGGAATAAGAGGTCGGTCTGTAAGACCTGCCAGCACAATGGGCGCATTTTTTCTCTCCATCTTTCCTCCTCCAGTGTAGCAGGAGGTGAGCAATCAAGTCGATCCAATCCTCGCGTTTTGGACAATTGACACGATTTGCAGTGGAATCTCCACGACAGTTGATAGTCGAAGTTGTTGATTGCTGTCCACGTCTTTGGGGCCCATGAGCGAATGTTGCAAGCATAGCGTGGATCCACTTACCGTTAAACATGCAGTCATAATGTCTAAATCCGACGCCTTAGACGTCTCAAGCCACAGCGGGACGGATTCAAGCGCTTTGAAGTAGGCCTTACGAGCAAGGGGGTTGGCAACCCCTCGTAGTTTGATGAGACCGTAGTAGAGTGCATTGTCTTGAGTTCAGGCCACAAGGTCAGCAAATTTCTTCAAATCAAGGGGAGAGACAGATACGAAGTCAAGCCTTGTACAGTATAGTGTAAGAAGACGATACTTAAGGATTTGAAATACACCCCAGGGATCGTTTCGCACTGACTTTGACGAGGGACACTGACTTCGTAGCCGGGCCTTACGTACAGTACAAGACTCGTGCTGCGGGTTCGACATTAACGTAAGGCGAATCAATGATGCTTGGTAAAAGATGCAGTAATTCGAGATCTTCCATGGCACTGGCTGTGAAGAGGTCTGGTATCACGAGATCCGATAACATTTCTAGAAACGCTATTGTCATTGCTGTCAGCACTGAGGTTTATACCACGAGGCCGCTCAACCAGACGAAAGGCAATGACTGGTCGTGGTGTCTATGGGTGTAGAACAACTGGAGAGGTCGACCTTACCTTGGACACAAGCCTTTCCTTCCTCTGAAGAGACGCTAAATTGGGAGTCTTTGCCGAAGTGCTCAGGACTGACTTTCAAAATTTCGAGATCGGCCAGGGAATCATTGAGGGCTGACATAGCCGTATCAACAGTAGAAGGGCCAGGGGTGTCAGTTGGAGTTGCGTTGACCCTCTCGAACTTTGTCGTTGCGTCCTTAGCCATGCGATAGATCCATACTGTCTTTGTCAGTAAGTGGGGGACCAGCATTACTGC